TTTTTCGAAATATTACCCGCCATTGTGATGTTATCCCCACGTCGTTACGCGTACATATTAGTCTATAAATCTCTCGCCATTGACTGTGTCCTACTCAACTACCCGTCCCTTTAAAACTCCCCACGTGTAACAAACGACAATATTAAACTTGTACAATATCCCTGGACTAAAGAATCAGTCCTCCCCTATCCATCTTCGAGAACAACGCTTACCTAATACCTAACCTCTATCATCATCTATCACACGCAACGCATTAGATGCTTGTCTAACTGTATTCAAACATCGTTGACCAGTTCTTCGTTTCTTTCTCGATGCATCGATCCGTTATTTGTATCCAATGTTCAAAACATTCTAATTTATTTGTTTTCAAACTCGATATAAATACACGTCACAGTTTCGCGATTCTATTTCGAACTACGTTATATTTTTCGTGAGGTTAGAGATTCGGGACGAATCGGAAAAATTCGGCTAGAATCGGGTAAGATTCTCGATGTATCCCGAATTTTTCCGATCTTTCCCGAAGTCGTTTCCGAGACTGACAAAATTGTACATTCCTGTATTTTCGTACAGTGTTTCGAAATAAATCCATAAATCTTTTTACTTTTCGTTTTAAAAGGCCATTACTAGAAAAAAATATTTTCCTCATCGACTCGATATGGGTTTGTTTTCACGTGTGGATACGAGACGAAACGAATCGCGCGTCACTGAGCACCATGTGCTGCGGCCAATTGGACGAGGGCTCAGGTAGAAAAACGCGTTCCAGGCCCTCGGCTTGTAAAACGCATCTGGCGAGCGGAATCGCTTCAGGCCTCTGCAATTTTTTCGCTGTTTCTCTCTATCGATCGTGTTATTTGTAAATCGGCTAAATAACGTATCCCCGGCTCGGATAAGTTGTACTTATCCGTGTTCGTATCTCGTAATAAAATCTATCTCACCGTATACTTTTACATATTTCGCGGAATCACGAGATGTCCTATGATCTAGTACACGCTAGAACACATACATTATAAAGAATCAATCGGTGACTTCCTATTTAAAAACGAAGGCGACGAAACGAGCTCGTTCTGATTTATTTAACGATTTAAAGTGATTTCATTGGCATTCGGTGAATCGTGTATCGTATTATTTACACGTTGATTCAAATCGTTCAGCGTTATATAGCGATCTAGAGTATAGATGGTTTAATTACGCTGAATCAAGTTCGATTCAGCGGCACAATGTTTTACAGTTAATCGTATAATTAGACGTATATGATTATGGAAATACAATGTAGAGAAACGAATTGTCGTGGCGGACGAGTTATTACAGCTACTTCCGTATAATCCTCCTTATTGACGGGACAATAGTTGGGATCGAATGTAACACAAGTTCGTAACGAAATTATTAAGTGGGCGTCCCGTGCCCCGTAACGGGATCGATAGGGAAGAACGGTAATGCTCGACGACTCCGTGATCGATTCCAATTGACTGCATAACTCATCTCAGCCAACCTTTAACCTTTTCGGTGTACGCGCCGACTGACAAGTTGTTACACCGGCTGCGCGTTTCAATGCCCGTGTAAATGTATGCATATAGGATGGTTGTACATAGGTTTGAGAGTGGTGTTTCTTCCACGTAGAGTAAACGCATCTAATATCGCCATTCGTAATATCTCGAGGAAGTGTTGAGGTAATATCGGTAGTAAAGTGAACTAATAGCCAAAAATGTGTACAGATATAGCGAGTACGCTTGCGGTTATGCACGTGTATGAAACTTGATAACGCAAACGTCCATCGAATATTTTTCACATTGTTATCAAAGTTGTTAAAAAGATTCAATAGCGGTAATTGAATATTTTTTAATCGAATTTCTCGCCAATCATTTTACACTCGAAAAGAAAGAAATATTTTCCTTTACGATTAAAAGTTAATTATATAACTTTTTCGAATGTTAATTATAAGACGAGTTTCATTTTTAATCCTTCAGAATTATTCGAATAATAATTATTATTATATATAAGATAATTGCATAATGATTTTAATGATTTTATGCATAATACGTTTCTCGATAACAAAAATAACAAAAATTAAATATTGACAGTATTATGTGCACGACATGATAAACAAATTGCTCATCAAGCTACTTGCACCTATTAATTAATAATTTCGAACCTGATAGTGGAATCAACAAAATGCATAATTCTCAGCCACCAAAATATAGTTATACAAAACTCTTAATTTATAATTAAAATACTACCAAATTTCCTAAATTTCCAAAATTTTCTCCCACTAAACTCTCTTTCATTATCAAAAAAAAATTTCACAAATTAAAATTCTCCCAAAGAATAGTCATAAGAAATCAAAGATTAAAAACTCTCTGTCATAATAACCATCGAATCTCTTTCGGAGCATCCTCTTTCTCTCGAAAAAAAAAATCTCTTAGGGGAAACAAAAGTCCCTCGCGATCTCCTCGCGATCGTTCCACACGCAGGTATCGATGCCATATCGATCTCGATCGATTTGGGGGAGTTCTGTTCGGCGCAGGTGCACCATTTCCCAACGCGAAATTTATAGATCGATTCCGCGGTAATCCGCGGCCGAGCTAGCCCGAGGAAAGTCGAAAGGGATCGGCTTCGATTCAATGCCCTTATTCGCCCCGGGTATATACGT